GAGAGAGAGAGAGAGAGAGAGAGAGAGAGAGAGAGAGAGAAAGAGCATGCACGCGTGCGAGAGTTTACAATAGCCATCAGAGTTTCATCAGGGAATTTTGTCCTACCAACCTCTAAATATGTATAAGTAATTGTTACTTATTTATGACTTAATAACTATATTTCCCCTTTAAAAACGTTTAGGAATTCAAGTTAATTTACGCAAACAGCACAAGGGATATTGACTCAGCCTATAGTGTTTAGTAAGTCTCTATTACTCAGCTAATGCAAAAATTACCTCGAGTGGAACCTCTTGATTCACCAGCGTGACATTAGTCACTTGTCTACAGATGGTCTGTACTTTGAAGTTGAGGTCTGTCAGCATCTCTCGTTGTATGATGAGACGATAGGCCCAGTGAGTGCTGGATGAGTTAGACTCCCACTGGAACACCTAATGCCAGCAAGAGAGACAGAGAAATAACAATGATTATCAACACTAAACACTACAACAAGATAGACCTGCACCACAACACTGCCTTCACAACAGCATATCCAACTGAGCTAAAAAAAATGGCACTATAGCAGGGCTACCGCTGGCATTCGCCTCCTTCACAAAATGCGATAAATAAATAACAGTGGCGATTTTTCTACACTATTTGACTAAGTGGCGAATGATTTAACTGCTCATAAAGTTAGAAAATAATAAAATTGTCAAATTGCAGTGTCGTGTTGTAAAATGTTTTCGTATACCTCTTTTCCCATACCTATCACCTGTTTATGCTTTACTTAGCACATACGATAAAGTGAGCAGTGCCTATAGTTTTTCATTGATGGCTAAAAAATAACTTTAGTGGCTCAAGTCTTAGCTTAAACTTTAAAACATCCAGAGGTAGCCCTGTTGCAGCTGATGAATATCTGCTACGGTGTACTGCACTGTACTGTAATGTACTTTGCCTACTGTGTTGCATTATGCTGTGCTGTTGTGTTGTACTATACTCTACTATACTCTACTGTACTATGACGTGCCATGCTTTCCTGTGACTGCTGCACTGTGCTGTGACGTGCTGTGTTGTCCTGTGGCTGCTGTATTGTACTGCATTGTGCTGCACTGTGCTATGACATACCATGCTTTCCTGCGACTGCTGTATTGTACTATATTATGCTGCACTGTGCTATGAAGTGATGTGCTGTATTGTGCTGCACTGTGCTATGATGTGCTGTGATGTACTGTGACTGCTGTATTGTACTATATTATGCTGCCCTGTGCTATGACGTGCTAGGCTATGATGCGCTGTGCTGTACTGCGATTGCTGCACTGTGCTATGACGTGCTGTGCTGTACTGCGATTGCTGCACTGTGCTATGATGCGCTGTGCTGTACTGTGACTGCTGCACTGTGCTATGATGCGCTGTGATGTACTGTGGCTGCTGCACTGTGCTATGACGTGCTGTGATGTACTGTGGCTGCTGCACTGGGCTATGACGTGCTGTGATGTACTGTGGCTGCTGCACTGGGCTATGACGTGCTGTGATGTACTGTGACTGCTGCACTGTGCTATGACGTGCTGTGATGTACTGTGACTGCTGCACTGTGCTATGACGTGCTGTGCTGTACTGTGGCTGCTGCACTGGGCTATGACGTGCTGTGATGTACTGTGGCTGCTGCACTGTGCTATGACGTGCTGTGATGTACTGTGGCTGCTGCACTGGGCTATGACGTGCTGTTCTGTACTGTGACTGCTGCACTGGGCT